AGCCGTGCAGATGTGCGCGCGACCCAGCGCCTTGCACAGCCAGAGCCGGGAAGCTCGGGCAGCCCGGGATATTCAGCTACATTCCATTCTCCCGGTTTGCCAAGACGGTGCCGATCAGAGCCCACCCCGGGTCACCTGGTGCTCTGCTCACGCCATAACCCTGGGTTCAGTGTTGCACCAACCTGGTCCTGATGCCAAGACGCTTCCAGGCACCTTTTCCCGGTGCTGCAGTCGCCACATACGGCGACCCCCCAGCTCCGTGGGGCCACGGTGCAGACGTGGTGCAGATCTGGTGCTGCCAGGGTGCAGCCGACCTCCCTCCCTGCAGATTCCAGGTTGCTGCTCCTGTGCTCGCCGCTCTGCTCCCAGCATCTCTCCTTGTTCCTTGCCTTTTCCATGTCTCTTTCCTCAGTCTTTGCCGATTAATAGTGTTCCAACTCCTGGAGGAAATGCAGAAAAACGGCATGTTTAATTTTAATTTAGGAAACCGTTTAGGTAGCAGCCTAGTTTCCTCGCTCCTGTCAATCAGGTTTTCTCAAGGCTGACATCAATTAGTTTAAAAATATTGAATGTAATTTTGCCTGACACAACATATTGCAGCCACTGCAAAATATAATTTATTTTAGAAGAAGAAATAATTAAACTAATTTGCATGTCAGTCAGCTGAGTTGGAATACCAAGGAGGGATGCGGCGATGGAAGAAGATGTCCTCTTCTCCCTCTCTCTCTCTCTCTCTGTCTCTTTCTTGCTCCCCCATTTTTTTTCCTTTTTCTTGATCCTCTTTTCCTTTGATCACACTCAGCCTGCTGTGTGCAGCCTTTCCCTGTCCGTGGGCCAGGTGCTGCTTCTTTCCTAGTCACGGTTGAAGTGTGTGAGCACAGGTAGGAGTGCAGGAGCAGACACGGGTACAGATGTGGGTACCTCTGCACCTGCAGTGGTGCTTCATGAAGATGTAGCCGGTGCCGGAGCTTTCTGGACCTACTGGTGTGAAGTTTGCACTGCTGATGTGCGAGTCAGTCCTTTCATCACTGATGTGCTCCAGCAAAATCCTGATTGCTGTCCTAACCATTGCAAATTCAGATTATGCCCCTGAAGTTGCAGCAAACGTTTTGACCATGATTTGGATGTTTTTTCCCCAGTGATGTGCTTGGAGGTAGTGGAGGACTTTTGGGGGCTGTGCTCGAGGCCTTGGGTGCAGCTGGCACAGAAGCCGAATAGGGCCATTGGTGCAGGGGTGGCAGTTGCCTTCTGTAGCCTTCATGTTTTGACCATCCCAGAGCCGAGAGTGAGCACGAGTGGATCAATTTGGAGCTGCTGCAGGGGCAGGAGCAGAGCCAGGTCCCTCAGGAAGGGTGGACAGCCCAAGGGGCTGCGCTGCCCTTGGAAAGGGTCTTGGCACATAGAGAATGTGGAGCTTGGTGCGGCCTGGCCCTGTAGCACTGGTGCAGGACAGGGAGCAGGGTTGGCCGTGGCCGCGGTGGAGGCACCATCTCGGCAGCACGGGGATGGCCACGGGGCTCCTGAGGGTGACACCAGGATGAGGTGCTGGGCAGGGGCTGTGGTGTCCCCAGGTGTCCCCAGTCCTGCTGCCTCTCCTCACCCTCCCCAGGGCCCTGCCAGCTCCTCTCAGCATCGTGGTGCTGCCACCGCTGCCTCCCAGCATCCCCACTCCCGCACTCCCTGCAGCTTCCCGCCTCCGCCCGCTGCCTCCAGCCCTCTCGCTCCCTGCGTTCCTTCTAAAATAGCCTGTCGTGCCGGGCTCGTCACGACTCCTGTCCCCTCTCAGCAGCACCGTCTGGGCGAGGGAGTGAAGGAGCGGGCACCTGGGACCGGGCAGTGCTCTGTCCCCACGACCGCAGGGGCCCGGGCATGATGTGGCCATGAGAGCCCCGTCATGGCACCGGAGCAGGAGTGCCACAGCACTACCCTTCCTGTCTCTCCCAGATAACCACTCCCAGGTATCCAGAGCCTCCCTGCGCATCCGCATCCTGGACGTGAACGACAACCCTCCTGAGCTGGCCACCCCCTACGAGGCTGCCGTGTGCGAGGACGCCAAACCGGGCCAGGTAGCACGCGGCACCGGCTCCGAGGGGGGACCATTCCGTCCCTGGGCATGGCGCAGCTCGGGATGCCGGCACGGCTGGGATTGCCCATGGGACACGCTCCGGCACCGCTTCTCACCTGCGCTAGACCATCAGTGTTGTGGACCGGGACGAGCCCCACAGCGGCCACCGCTTCTACTTTGCCCTGGCGCCCGAGGCCACCCACAGCCACCGCTTCTCCCTGTTGGACGTCCAGGGTGAGTCCTGCCCCGGGTGCGTTTCCTCGGCCCGGGTCCTGGGGCGTTGGAGCCCCGGGGTGGCTCCCGGCGCTGCGGCCCCGGCTCCCTTTGGCTTGCAGCCCCGCGGGCTCAGGCCACAGTTGTGGCCTGTGAGGTCAGTTGACTGATGCCCTCTGGTTCCTGCCAACGCTGCTACTGGCCCTGGGTGCTGCAGAGCTGCAGCTGGGACCATGTGGAGGCGGAGGCTGCTGCAGCTGGGCATTCGGCTGGCCTTGGATGAAGCCAGCAGCCCACGCTGAAACCCTTTTTGTTTTCTCTTACCGAGACCATTTTTTGTCTCTGCTTCTGCAGCCCCCTGTGTCACAAGTCCCCTTTGCTCTGTTCTGAGCTTATCAGAGCCCCTTGGCTGTCATTAGATCCTGCCATTTCGATGGGACTCAGCACCTTTAGGGACAGTCGAAATGAGGCTCATAGGAAAGAGCCCCAGGCGTGATTGCAGAAAGCTGGTGTTGCTTTGGGCTCTGAAAAGCGCAGCCGTCCCTGACCCCAGCTGCCCCCGCACCCCTGGGGCAGCTGGTCCTGAGCCCTTGGCTCCTTATCCCGTAAGCGCAGCTTAATCCAGGCAAGATTGCGTGCCGCACCCAGCGATTAACATCTTCCCTTTCTGTGCGGGGCCTGGGAGGTGCTGCTGGAGCCCGAACTGCCCCGGCGGCTGCGGGGACCTGGCCTCAATGAGCCCCAGCAGGGCAAGGGTGGCCGCTGTCCCCTTTGCTGCGGTCCCAGGTGGAACGGGGCTGTCCTGGCCGGGCTGCCCAGCCCCTGCTTGTGCATGTGGGTCCAGGACAGGCACCCGAGCACGGGGCTGCGGGGGCCTGGGGTTTCCACACCGCTGTGTCCCCAAGCTGCTGCTCCTCCGGCCCGGCTGCAGCTCCCGCGTGCACACATGTGTCTCCTCCACACGGAGCGAGCCCCGCAGCGTGGCGTGTGGTGCAACACTGAGTAAAATGGGTAGAAGATGGCCTCATCTCCCGCCTTCTTGGGTAAAACAACTGCTGTTGCTGCAGGGTTATTCCCTGGGCGTTCGCAGACTCCCCGGATGCCGAGCAATGCCATCTGCGGCAGCCCAGCAGGAGGCTGTCGGAGCCAGAGGAGACGCCCCTCATCTCGCTGCGACGGGGGCTTGGCGGCGTTTCCCCAGGATTTTATTTCTTTTCCCCACGACTTCACCCTGCATCGCATGTCCTGCTGCACCCGCCCTCACCCGCACTCCTTGCTGCATCCTCCCCTGTCCGCCCCTCGCCTCCCGCTCCTCCTTCGCCTCTCTTGTACTTCTCGCTCCTTCTCCGTATAAATATCGGTGGTGACAAACTGCTACCACCAGCCCATCTGTTTCTTTGTACAAATTTGTAGCCAGTTTTGAAACGTGATTTATAAATATTGCTTTTGCAGCCAAGGAGTGACACTGATGGATGTCAGCACAGATGGATTCGCTAAGCTCCCGCTTAAATCCCTCTCCCTTTGCACCTACTCCCCGGCTCCTGTGAGGCAGCCGTGAGTGCCTGCACAGGGACCTGGTTCCCGTGGGATTGCTCCTTGTGCTCCAGGGATGAGGGCCCATGGCCGCTGCAGAGGCTGCTCAGAGGGTCCTTGTCAGCTACACGGGATGGGGGCTGTCCTGGGCCATAGGCAGCACGTCCGTCCAGCACAGACCTGGTTGGGTGTTTGCTGAGCACACGGGTGCACGGCGGCTACCCCAGGGCTCTGCTGAGCTGGGGCCACCACCGGCCCTTGGCCGATGGGTTGGCACATGCAGACACGATGGTCCTCACCGGGAGCTGCATTTCCCAGTGCTATCTCCATTCCCACAGCTGCCTCTCCTCCTGCCCTGGTCGGACGTGAGAGCAAAGGCCGCTCTGTGGAAGCTCCCCGTTAGCCAAGCTGGGCCTGAAACACTTGCAAGAGGCTTTAGAGATGGCTCCGTTTTTTGCCTGCCACTTTCTTCCCCGCTCCTGCTCTTTCAGAGGAGCCAACAGGAGCTTGTGAAGTTGGCGAACAAGGAATAGAAAGATATGTGTGATAGTGAAGGAGCAGTGCCAGGAGGAAGATACTGCCCAAGTGAAGTGCTTGAAAGAGGAGATGGGGTGGGAGAGCCGACCTCGCTGGATCCAGCTGGTGCCTTTTCAAAAGCACCTGCCATCGTGTGGTCCTAATGCCCCTTTTGGGCCATTCTGGATGGAGAAAAGTAATTAGAGCAGCATCAAAGGTAATCAAAGCCCCAAACCATGTTCTCCAAGAAATCCTAATCATGTTGGAAGGGATGGCAGGAAGAAGCTGAGCCCTGCAACGTGGAAGGGCTGGTGCATAATGCGGAGCGACACAAGGAAGCTGCAGAGCCGGAGGGCCGGGAAGACAGATGTCTGCGCTCCCCAGGTCTCGTTAGGAGCACACGATGGGTGGAAGCCTGAGGGACCAAGTGTGGAGTGGGAGGATCCAAGCTATGTCTGAGGCTGGGGAGCCCCTTCACCCCCATGGGTGGCCACTTTCCATGTGGTGCCGGACTGCGGCAGGCAGGACAGCACCGGATCGCCCGGGACTGAGCGTGGGAAAGGGGCTGCAGAGAATGGGATGAGGAAGAGGCAAGGGGAGATCCAAACGCCCCGTGTAGGAGGGCTCCACTTGAACCCTTTGTAGCTGCGGGCAGCTCTGTCAGCAGCCTCACGAACTGATGAGCCGGTGTGTCCGGGCCACCGGAGCAGCTTCCCGAGCCAGCAAAGGCAGATGCTTCCTGCAGCCCTGGGAGCACAGAGAGAGCTGGGACATTGGATCCAGGCTGGAGGTAGATTGCTCCCTTCTGCTTTCCCAGGGCTGCTTGAGATTGAGTTATGAGAAGGATTTATTAGCTCTGTCTTTGATGCTGCCAAGAGCCTCTTTGGAGAGAGGGAGTCTGAGAGACTTAATTATTGCGTTATTTCTAGTTCCTAGCAGAGCATATTGCATTCCTAAACTGCCCCCGCAGCGCTATGGACTGGTCCCTGCACACTTGACTCCTGCTGCTTTTGATCTTGCTTGTGAACTGCTCCTCGAGGAGACAGAGCTGTCGCTTCCCCTCCGTCACATGAAGTGATGCGACGCGACACGGGCTGAACCTGCTGCGCGCTCGGGAGAGGCCGGGTGATCTGCGGAGGATGTGAAATGCCAGCTCGTCCAGCACGGCGGCCTTGGCAGCGCTGGGCTCGGCTCCCGGGGGGGGGGG